TTACTGCTTTCAAAAGCAGTATCTGAGGGATTGTTTTCTGGACTACAATTTGGAAGAAATGAGACGGCTTTCTGGCCTTCAATTGAATTTGAAGAAAAGCAGATTATTTGGTGTTAATACGGCTGCGGAGGAGGTTGAGGAGTGGGCCTCGTCTATTGGTTGTGCAGTTGGGAATTTTCCCTCTGAATATCTAGGTTTGCCTCTCGGTGTATCTAGGAATTCTTCCTCTCTTTGGGATCCGGTGGTTTTACAATTTAACAAGAAGCTTGCAGGTTGGAAATCGAACACTCTTTCATTGGAAGGGAGGTTAGTCTTGATTAAATCGGTTCTCTGTTCACTTCCAACCTACTATTTATCCCTGTTTAAAATTCCTTGCTCGGTTAATTCCAAACTCAATTCCATAATGTCTAACTTCCTATGGGGAGGTGGAACGGATAAAAACAAGATTCATTGGGTCAGCTGGTCCAATGTGTGCAAATCTAAGGAGGAGGGAGGTTTGGCAGTGTTGAATATTATTAATATGAACAGAGTTCTACTGGGGAAATGGTCTTGGAGGTTTGCTAATGAAAGGAATGCTGTTTGGAGGAGGTTGATATGTTCAAAATACAATCTGGATCCCTACTCTTTACTGTCCAATAGCAAGATACCATCTCAATCCTCTTGGATTTGGAGTTCAGTGGTTAATTCTCATTTTAAAGAAGACTCATTTGGCTCAAAATTTCGAAGTATGTGCAGAATTCAAGTTGGTTGTGGTCAGTTTATCCGTTTTTGGTAGGACAAATGGGCAATGGACTGCCCTCTTAAGGTCTCTTTCCCAAGGCTGTTTGCTATCTCTTCAAATCAGAGTGGTAAATTGATTGATTTCGGCGAGTTTAGTTCTTTAGGCTGGATTTGGAATATTCGATTGAGGAGGAATTTGGCTGATTGGGAACTTGAACAGTGGACTAATCTGATGACAATCATTTCTAATTTTTGCTTGTCTAAAGATGCCAGCGATGCTCTGATCTGGAAAGGGAAAGGGGATGTTGTTTATTCTGTTAATTTATGTGTGAAGATTTGTTCCTCGGGTTCTCAGGCGAACTTTTTTTGAAAGAAAATTTTGTGGAAAGGATTGGTGCCACCAAGGATTGAGACTTTTATGTGGTAGGTGGTCCTTCAAAAACTACCAGTGAGGACTGAACTGGCTAAAAGAGGAGTTTCGGATATTGTAGATCTTTCATGTCCTTTATGTAATTTGGTGGATGAATCCTCTTCTCATTTATTTCTCTCTTCTTTTGTCGTGTGATCTTTGTGGAATAAATTTTTGCAGTATTAGAGTATCAGTTCGGTCTTTCATGGAAATGCGCAAAACTTTCTTCTAGCTTGGGAAGATCTAAATTCCGGTTCTACTATTTGGAACTTTATTCCGGCTGTTGTTATGTGGGCTGTTTAGAAAGTTAGAAATGACATCGTCTTCGAAAAGAGGGAAGTTGGATCAAAATAATTTATTTTTCTTAGCTAGAGTAAGGCTTGGATCTTGGTTCCTAGCTAAGTTTGCAGATTCGGTCATTTCTTTGGATTCCCTTATCAGTGACCCTTCCCTTGGGGATTCATGTTTCCCTCCAAACAAATCAATTGTCTCTACCATCCCGTGGTCCCTCCCTCCTAAGGGTTTTGTCAAATTGAATGTGGATGCAGCTACTAGTTCTGACTGGAAGAGCAGTGGAATTGCAGGTATTCTAAGAGATGAAGAAGGTCTACTTTTAGGTTCTTTTAAGACGGCTTCTGGTCCGGTTCCACCTATTCTGATGGAGTTAAAGGCTGTTAAGGAGGGTTTAAATTTCTTTCACTCAGTGAGAGGAGGTATTAAGGGTCGGTTGATTATAGAATCAGATTATAAAATGGTAGTGGATTGGATTAAGGATGGATCTTGTTGTCCTGTTTTCTATGCCTCCATTGTTAGGGAGGTAGTTGTTAAACTCAAAGAAGTCAAGGGAGTTATTAGATGGGTGGCTAGGACAGCCAATATTGAGGCTGATGGGTTGGCTAAGTCTGGTATTGGTTAATTTTACTTTATTGTTGGGATATTTTATTTTGGGTTTTTAGGTTGTTTGTAAGGGTTTTATCTTATTATTGTAAATCTTATGTGTCTTTATTAATAAAGTTTAAGGCACTCTTTTCCTCCTTCCTCTGATTTAGGAATTCAATATGAGTTCCTTAAATCATGAAGGGGGTTTTTAATGAGGTCTCAATTCCTATAAAAAAAAAGCAAAGTGATGAGATAATATTGTTTATCGATGAGGTTCACACTTTGATTGGAGCGGGAGCAGCTGAAGGTGCCATTGATGCAGCCAATATCTTGAAGCCTGCTCTTGCAAGAGGTGAATTGCAGGTAATTTTTGTTCTTACAGTTGGGATTGTACCCTTTGACTTTTATATCCGAATTCTATATGAATTATGTGAGGCCTGACCGATGCTCTAATTATTCGAGCTTTCTATTAAGCTTTGACAACTGTTGAAATTTAGTATTGGGTTAATGTGACTATATTCTGACAATTCTTTACTCTATCTGAATCGTTGTAGTGTATAGGAGCTACAACCCTTGATGAATACCGAAAGCATATTGAGAAAGACCCGGCTTTGGAAAGACGTTTCCAGCCTGTCAAAGTGCCTGAACCATCTGTAGATGAAACCATACAGATTTTGAAAGGCTTGCGGGAGCGTTACGAGATTCACCACAAGCTTCGTTACACGGACGAAGCCTTAGTTTCTGCTGCACGGTTGTCATACCAGTACATCAGGTACATGGTCATCTTATTTTCATCGAGTTTCTTTGTAATTGCTTAGTGACTAAAAATTGAACTGCCATTTTTTGTTCCTCGTTCTAATTTCTGTATGGCCAGTGACCGTTTTCTACCTGATAAAGCAATCGACTTGATTGATGAAGCTGGATCTCGTGTTCGCCTTCGTCATGCACAGGTCTGTTTGTAGAACAATCTAGTCCTGAGTCACTCTTATATGCCTTACTTTCTCAAGTTGATTTTGTGACATTTCTTTTGGTACAGCTCCCTGAGGAAGCTAGAGAGCTTGAAAAAGAGCTTCGGCAGATAACAAAGTCAAAGAACGAAGCAGTTCGTGGCCAGGACTTTGAGAAGGTACCAAATTGTTGAGTTTCCTGGGTTCATTTTATGCTGATTACTTTTAGGGGTGGATCAAGTCTCTTCTCTGGGTCCTAGCTTTTCAGTTTTTACCAAACCCACCTAAATTACTTCAGCTTGACCCATATTTTAACAAATCCTTTTAAACAGGCTGGGGAGCTACGTGATCGAGAAATTGAGCTCAGGGCTCAAATAACTGTAATCCAAGAGAAAGACAAGGAGATGAATAAGGCGGAGGCAGAGGCAGAGGATGGAGGGCCTGTTGTGACCGAAGTTGACATTCAGCATATAGTCTCTTCGTGGACTGGTATTCCCGTTGAGAAAGTATCAACCGATGAATCTGATCGTCTACTTAAAATGGAAGACTCTTCATAAACGACTCATTGGTCAGGATGAAGCTGTCAAAGCCATCAGCCGTTCTATTCGACGTGCCCGTGTTGCTCTCAAGAACCCCAACCGCCCAATTGCAAGCTTTATCTTCTCTGGACCAACTGGTGTGGGAAAGTCGGAACTAGCAAAGGCACTGGCTGCTTACTATTTTGGTTCTGAAGAAGCCATGATCAGACTCGATATGAGCGAGTTCATGGAAAGGCACACAGTTTCCAAGCTCATAGGTTCACCTCCTGGGTATGTTGGCTATACTGAGGGCGGTCAGCTAACCGAGGCTGTCAGGAGGCGGCCGTACACTGTTGTACTTTTTGATGAGATTGAGAAAGCCCATCCTGATGTTTTCAACATGATGCTCCAGATACTCGAGGATGGGAGACTGACAGATAGTAAAGGAAGAACTGTGGATTTCAAGAACACTCTTCTGATAATGACGTCGAATGTTGGAAGCAGTGTGATCGAAAAGGGTGGACGACGAATAGGATTTGATCTCGATTATGACGAGAAGGACAGCAGCTATAACAGAATAAAGAGCCTGGTCATGGAAGAACTGAAGCAATATTTCAGGCCTGAGTTCTTGAACAGATTAGATGAGATGATTGTTTTCAGGCAGCTGACCAAGTTGGAAGTGAAGGAGATTGCCGATATAATGCTCAAGGAAGTCTTTGACAGGCTTAAAAACAAAGAAATCGAGCTTCAAGTGACGGAAAGGTTTAGAGAGAGGGTGGTGGAGGAAGGATACAATCCGAGCTACGGAGCGAGGCCTTTGAAAAGAGCCATTATGAGACTTCTCGAGGAGAGCATGGCTGAGAAGATGCTTGCAAGGGAAATCAAGGAAGGTGATTCTGTAATTGTGGATGTCGACTCTGACGGAAATGTCACGGTTCTCAATGGTAGCAGCAGCACTCCCGAGTCATTGGCTGATCCAGTTTCGATCGCATAAAAAACCAAATATGTAACCTTTTCTGGATATGTTGTTTGTTACCCTTTTCTTTTTTTTATTGAAAAACACTACTTGGCTGTTGATGGCTTGCCTATGGAATACTGAAAGCCGTCTTTCTTGAGTATACTCTTTTCTCAAAACGTAACATCAAATTCAGCGTAGAAGTTGATCGTTTGTTAAGCACAGCTCAAATACGTAACTTAACATCAAATTCAACGTAGAAGTTGATCGTTTGTTAAGCACAGCTCAAATAAGTAACTCATCTTTGCCCGGATGGATCCAATCTAACAATTTCAATGGCACAAATTCTTTTTTTTTTTACTCGTTCAATGCAGAACGACCTTTCCAAGTTGAAAAGTCTCCTTTTTTGCAAATTGCATTCGTGACAACAAATCACAGCTAGCCGAAGAAAAGAAACAATGGTGGTGGTGTCTGATATCTCTCGTCAATCTCTTCTTCCTAGCTTCCTCTATTCCACTTCTTCCTCAGCCAAACGTCTCTTGGGTTAGGAGCTGCCTCCATCACCGTTCGTTATGTCATCAAAAGTGGCTGTCGGTGATGTAGGGGTGAGAGGGAGTAGAGTAGTGATAAAGTCGCCAGAGGAAGGGAAGATCAAGATGTTCTCTCCTGCTTTTTACGCCGCGTGTACCGTGGGCGGGATGTTGTGCTGCGGCATCACTCACACCGCTATTACGCCTATGGATCTTGTCAAGTGTAATATGCAGGTAATTCTGTTCTTTCAAATATAGGAGCCTGCCTTCACGTACTCTTCTTATTCCCCACAATTCACCTAGATTGACTCAGCAAAGTACAAGAGCATCACATCTGGTTTTGGAGTACTGGCAAAAGAGCATGGATTAAAAGGGTTATTCAAGGGTTGGGTGCCAACTCTGTTGGGATACAGTGCTCAAGGTGCTTTCAAATACGGTTTCTACGAGTTCTTCAAGAAGTACTATTCCGACATCGCCGGGCCGGAATACGCAGCCAGGTATAAAACCCTGATATATCTAGCCGGTGCAGCATCATCCGAGTTGATCGCCGATGTGGCTCTTTGCCCCATGGAAGCTGTCAAAGTTCGAGTGCAAACCCAGCCTGGCTTTGCCCGGGCTTTATCGGATGGGTTACCAAAGATTGTGCAAGCAGAAGGTGTTGCCGGGTATGGTTTCTCTATAAAGCACTTTAATATGGTATATTGCATATGTTTATGTACAGGCTGATACTCAAGTATAATCTTTGCTTGTATTTATAGGTTGTACAGACTTGCTCCTCTTTGGGGACGACAGATTCCATGTGAGCCACCAACATTTCAACATATAGATACGTATCTGAGATTCGGAATGAACCGAGTTGATATGGTTTTTTGCAGACACGATGATGAAATTTGCATCGTTTGAAACGATTGTTGAGCTAGTGTACAAACATTGTATCCCAACGCCCAAAGAGCAGTGCAGTCGACCAGTGCAGCTTGGGGTGAGCTTTGTTGGTGGGTACCTTGCTGGTGTTTTATGTGCTGTTGTATCACATCCTGCTGATAATCTCATCTCTTTTCTCAACAGTTCCAAAGGGACAACTGCTGTTGATGTGAGTAAAACCCTTTTTCTTGCCTGGTAAACTTTTATTAACCTAAACCGAACATTATGATATTTGTCGATTGTTGATGGGAATAAGTTTGTTGTGTCGGTAGTTGACGATTATGGGAAAGAAAAAGAAAAGAAAGGTGATGTGAAAGAGAAGATGAATAATGTAGAGAGTAGGAGAGAGTCTCCTCATCAGTTTTACCAGAGGGGTCTTTATAATGACTTTTAGTTTGCGGTGTTAAAAATAGAGTTAGTAGTAGATCTAAAAATATTTTTAAGAATGGGTACATATATATTAATAATGGAAATTTTTTGTACGAGTGGCACAAATAAAATTTTATAGTAAGCACCATCAAGAAAATGAAAAACTAACGTAATAAAAATTTGAATTTCAAGATGGCTATGTGCCCAACCTGGAGCCCATTTGCATCCATCACTATATAGAGTAATTATAACTATTAGTAGGTCAATAAACTAAATAGATTTGGTCCTTGAAGGCTCCAGTGGTTATTTTATGAAGATATGATATTAATATACAATGTGGGACAATGATTATGATATTTTCGGATAATTCATCTCTTCTAATGTGTATGAGGAGTAATTAATTGATTACATATTTCAAGAAGAGAACATGTTCCTTCCAGTGAAAATAAATTATATTACTTGTTCTTTGAATGGGTGATTATAAGGTAATTTTTGGTCATAATTTTTCTTAATCATTGACAATGCGTATACACTCGCAGGCACAATTGCTTGAACTTAAGACTTCTAGAAAGAACAACACTCTCTTTAATCATTGTATTTAAGGGGGAGTCGTTAATAAATTAAGTAAAGACAATAGATGTACGGACGGAATCATATCATGACTCCGATGAAATGTGTATCGAGGGACTCACGTTGGCATTATGCAATAATATACTTAGTTTGCCGTTTGCAGGCAGTGAAGAAGCTAGGATTGTGGGGTCTTTTAACTCGTGGCCTTCCCCTTCGTATTCTCATGATTGGAACCCTTACCGGAGCACAATGGGGAATCTACGATTCCTTTAAAGTTTTTGTCGGCCTGTATGTTCTCTCTTTGAATATTTTTCTTTCCACTCTCACATGGTTCTTACTCAGTTCATACGGTTCTTGGTCAAGCTACCAAATGGTTTTATAATTCGATATTTACGATCTCTAATTTATTTTTATATTTTGACCAACTGTATGAAGGTCGAAATATTATGTTCTTCCTCTCTATTTCGAATAAGTTCGTTCTGTTTTCTATTTTCAGGCCAACCACCGGTGGTGGTGCTCCTACCCCAGCCACAGCAAAGGCGTGAAGAGAACATAATTCATTTAAAAGATGACAACTTTGAATTACACACAGTGTTTCTCAATAAACTGATATGTGCTTAATACAATAAAACTCTCAAATAGTAGAATAAACATTATAGGTAAACTTGACACTAGAAGATCCTTTAAATAGGCATCACATGATCCTTAAGCTTGGGATGCGTGTAGTACCTCCTACCTAACGAAATCGTAAATCTTAATAAGACTTTTGTTTGGATCTTCAAATTCAGTAACCATACATCACAATATTAAATCACAACAGTTAATTTATTAATTCAATGAAATCATATTATTAGGCAAATATCTTGTCAATTTAAAACAGAAAATCGATCAATTATTAGAACACTAAAATAGTCATGAACATGCTCAGATTTCAGTTCAGTTTTCTTAAAAATGCATTTTGTATGATTTTTATTGAAGAAACATAAACAAAACGCATAATAGGCATGGACCCCTAACCGGAAGAAAAAGAGTGTACCATGTTTATGAAGATTGAGCAAGGTTCAACTTTACAAAAACATCACCAAAACAAAACAACCAGTTAAAGCAACACTGTGAAATCATTTCTATGACACCACACAAGACTCTACAGTTCCAATAGGATAATTCTCAGGCGCGCACCAAGGCCCCGCACATAGGGATGGGCCTTGGATCCGAATCTAATAGGTTTTGATCCGATTGTGTTAGTTTTTTTTCTTTAAAATTGAGTTCGGGTTCGGGTCGAGTTTAGGGTGAAAATTATCCAACCCGACCCTACCTGGAAAAAATAATTTTACCTTATATATTTAAGAATAATTACAATAATACCCCTCTATATATTATTTTTTCAATTAAATAATTGTTTTTATTGAATAAAAATAATATTTTTATTATTTCGGATCGGATCAGGTTCGGATTTTATTTCAAAAAGTCGGGTTCGGGTCGAGTGGGGGTATATATTATGCGGGTCAAGTCGGATTTCGGATGGAGGAGTCATTATTCTTGGGTCGGGTCGGGTGGACCAAAAATCCGACCCAACCGACCCATGCTCATCTCTACCCGCACATACCAACAATTCCACTGTTGCTCAATTCAACACCCAAATCTACAAGACATGACAGACAGTAATAGAACCCCTAGACTAAGAACTCATATATGCTAAGAACAAGGAACCTTCAAACCGACAACACACCTCTATCTAGGGGTGTAAACGAGCCGAGTCGAGCTCGAATATTGGTGAACTCGACTCAAACTCAAAAATTTTAAACGTAGGCTCGACTCAAAAACTCGCGAGCTAAAAATTATGAAGCTCAGCTCGAACTCGAAATATATTACTAAAACTCGACTCGAACTCGAAAAAGCTCGAACTCAAAAAATTTCAGGAGCTCGATTGAAGCTCGATTCGACTACAAAAATCTTATATTACATTTAAAATACATAAATAATTTTCCCTTTAATCAACCATCACCAATACATTATAATATGAATGTATGGACTATAAAAAATCTAAAATCTAAAAATCTAAAAATACAATTACAAGAAATTTAGGATAATTAATATAAGCTTTGAAGTTTTTAAAACTTCAAATGTATTAAAAGTTTACAAAATATGACAACACATCTAAATTTATAAAAAGATGACAAATATGACAACATATCCAAATTTATACAAGATAACACTATTTTCCTTACAAAAGATAACAATATCGTGATAGTTGCATGTTTACTTAAAAAAATAATACAACAGATGATATCAACCAGTTAAGCTTACTTACAAAAGATTGCAACATGTCAAATTAAGTTTATTGTAAGTGAAAATTCACAGCTGCATTAATGGTCTTATTTTGCAACAAATGGAGCGGCTGAATTCAAAGTTAGCTGTCAAAATTAGGCGCATGAAATTGTTGAATTTCATGGATGGTAAAATTGTAGATTTAGTCATTGTACTTTAGGATATTTATAAGATTAGTCCTTAAGCTTTAACTATAAATACCCTAACCCATTTAGCTTCAAAACATCCCACATCATTCTAGCTTTTTCTCAATACTAGAGAGTTTCTTTAGAGTTATTTTCTCCTTTTTATCAAAAGAGAATTGTCATTGTTTTCTCCTTAGTAGATTGAGAGAAGTTGTAATTCCTATTTTCTTATAGTGAAATTCTTCTACCGTTGCTTGTGTTTTTTACCATATATTATTTAGGGGTTTTCCACGTAAAATTTGTGTCTTCTTTATCTTCATTTTTATTTTCTCAAATTATCAGTTACAATTTTTCTATATCCGATAGCCGTATTCTGCGACAATTGGCATCAGAGCCAGATTAGAGTGTGTAATATCTACTTATTGTCTTTGTGGTTTCCATCAAAAGGTGGATCCTCCAACATAAGAAAGTGATAAGGTGTTACCTATTCTTTGAAGGTTCCAGAGAACTATTCACGATAGTGAAATAATGGGAGCTATCCGTAATAGAAGCTATGATGACGCAATTTGATATTGAAAAATTCAATGAGAGAAATTTCTCATTGTGGAAATTAAAAATGAAGGCCATCCTGAGGAAAGACGGTTGTCTAGCAGCTATCAGTGAAAGGCCGGTAGATTTCACATATGACAGCAAATGAATCAAAATGGACAGGAATGCTATGGTAAACTTTCATCTAGCATTAGCAGATGAAGTATTGTCAAACATCGAGGAGAAAAAGACAGCTAAGGAGATATGAGGTCATCTCACCAAATGGTACGAGGCCACATCGTTGCATGATAAAAATTTTCTTAAGAGGAAATTGTACACTCTCCGGATGCCGGAATCTACTTCAGTGACGGAGCACTTAAACACGTTAAACACTTTATTTTCTCAGCTTACATCCCTAAGATGTACAATAGGAGAACAAGAACGTGTTGAACTTCTACTTCAAAGTATACCGGATTCGTATGATTAACTCATCATCAACTTGACAAGTAATAATGTCACCAGTCTAGTCATCGATGACGTTGCAGCTGATGTTCTACAAGAAGAAAATCGGCGCAAGAACAAGGAAGACAGACAAGTAAATCTGCAACAAGCAGAAGCATTGACAACGATGAGAGGGAGATCAACAGAACGTAGACAAAGCAGCAGTCACAAACATGGTAGATCAAAGTCGAGAAGAAAGAAGAATTTAAAGTGCTACAACTGTGGAAAGAAGGGTCACTTGAAGAATGATTGTTAGAGTCTAAATAAAAACTCCAATCCACAAGGTAATACCGCAAACACCGTGGAAGGTAGAAAAAGATTTACAGATATATGGCTCATTTATTCAGGAGTAACATATCACATGACCTCGAAAAGAGAATGATTTCATCATTACGAACCTGTCTCAGGAAGATCAGTATATAGTTGCAATGATCATGCCTTAGAGATCGTTGGCGTGGGAACCATCAAATTGAAGATATATAATGGAACAATTAAATTTGTTCGAGATGTGCGGCATGTGAAAGGCCTGAAGAAAATTTATTATACTGCGGATTGTTGGATAATAATGCAAGCAAGATTGAAACAAGGAAAGGAATCATGAAGGTGTTCCGTGGAGCGCTTGTGGTGATGAAAGGCAAAAAGATAGCTGTAAACTTGTACATGTTGAAGGGAGAGACTTTGCTAGAAGCATAAGCCTTTGTTGCCTTGTGTAGTTCAGATTCTGCAATGCTATGACATCATAAACTTGGACACATGTCAGAACAAGGAATGGAAGTCTTTGTGGAGCAAAAGCTACTTCAAGGCTTAATAAGGGTATCACTTACTTTGTGTGAGCATTGCATAACGAGTAAGCAGCACCGGTTGAAATTGAACACGTCAAATTCTAAAGGCAAAAGTGTTCTAGAATTGGTTCATTCTGACGTATGGCAAGCACTAGTTACATCCCTAGGCCGAGCAAAATACTTTGTCTCAT